GGTATCGAGAACTTATTGTCGAAACGCGTATAACGATGCTGAGAAAAAAAAAAAGATTCCCACGCACCGTCAAAGATCTCTTTCCTCTCGAACACCCTTTTGTATATATTCCTCCTCTAACCCTCCATCGGATATCGCACGAAGTTTATTCACAAAATTTGGATCTCTCTCCTTCTTAAATCACATTCCCCGTTCAGTAGAAATCGAATCAAAATAAGTGTCGACAATCGGAGATACATCGTTTATTTTTTCCAAGCAGTATACGTCCTGAGAGAAACTCGACAATGCCGCGTGGTGTCTTCGTATCTCCCAGCAATGGTACAAAAGTTGAACAGTGTGTGGACACATACACTGTTTCGAAACGATTACTTAATAAAAAAAAAAGAAAAACAGAAAAAAGGAAATGGGGGGGGGGGAAGATCGTGTACATAAGTAGTAAAGGGGGAGGATAATATGGATGATTGATCGTGAACGGAATCCTCGCGAGCTCAGACCGTTCGAGTCGCTGAAAAACCTATATGGAGGAACGTCCTTCGAGGAGGATGCACAGGTACTTCGTCTCGCGATGCGCTTGAATAAATATTATGCTATTTACAAAGCGATGAAACGTGTATTGCTTTTTTTTCTTCTGCTTCTGGGTGTCTCTCTCTCACTCTCTCTCTCTTTCACTGATATGCGTGTATCCACGTGCCGCGAGAGGATCACGATCTCAATGACGGACACTTCTCTCTCTTTGTGTTCTCCCGTTCGGAAGGAGCCACAGGGATCGCATCGAAAACGGCACGACAGTACACTCTCTCCGGCATTCGTGGGTATATTTACAGGCGTCGAAATGGAACCGCCGAAGACACATGATGTTATTTACAGGCGTGTGTCTCGGCCTACGACGCGATGCGACGTAAATAATGAGAGACGAAACGGGGTATAACACACATATATACACACACACACATACAATCGCCGCAGCAAACAACGTCGACGACGGAGATAAAAATTAAACGGGGTGAAGGAAAAAAAAAAGAAATTCGGTCGATCAAATAGAAATCGCGACTGGGTGTCCCCTAGGGGCAGTAGGCAATTACAGTAAATCATCTATGAGTGCATGAAGACTCCTCGGCACTGAAAATTAAATATTTCATAAACTAATAGCCATACGTGGCTGAAACAAATATCATTGACTTCAGAATTCCAAGCTCTATCACTGCTAGCGTAACCTCATTAAAAAGTCAGGGTTACATCTGGGGATCTCTCCATATCAGTGTTGAGAGGAGTCGTCCGGACACTCATCGAGGATTTACTCTATTTTCATAGGAAACACGAGACGGATTTCTTATTGAATCACACGCGTGTGTGCACCACTTTGGAGGAGAATTCCGGGTTACTTACAGACAGAGGACGACAACAGAGATACAAAGGACACGCGACCACGATCCGAAACTACGGATGGTTCAACAGGAAGGATTGGGGGGCCAAAATGGCCGGGAGTCGAAATGGTTTACATGGCGGGACACGTACGAAAACGCCCAGCCGATACGTGGGATTTATCGATTTATCCGTGATTCTCGTGACGATGAATATGTCAGTGTGCACACACGTTCCGTTGTTACTGTTCGACGAAAGGAAACAAAGGCAAAAAAAAAACAGAAAACGAAGAGATCGATAGAGGAACCGAAGTATGCACGTACCCGATAAAAATATCCATATCGTGTGTGAGGGCTGCCTTCGTATGTGTTTCCGCGTGAAAACGTGCGCGACAGAACAGATTTCATCCGTGTATACAACTATAAAAACCACCGTAAAATTTCCAGTTCATACGTATTAAGTTTAAAATAAAAACGAACCAAGTACGTTATGTCAGAACTTACTCTCTTCAGTTAATTTGTCATAAGCCCCAACATAAACATATTTTGAATTGAATTGAGAGAATTTTCGATGTCAGACCGGATATAATATTCTGTCTTACTCTGTAATTGCTCGCTCCGTTGAAGAAAGTAAGAAGAATGGGGTGAAGGGTTGGAGAGGAGCGCGCGTGGTATACGCTGGTTGTGTGCGCATACGCGTGCCCGCGCGAATATAATATCTCGCATCCGTGCGGCGACGGTGTCCTCGTTCACCCGGCGCATTTTCTAGACGTCGTTTTTCGAGGTGAATTTAAATGCAAGCCATCATCGTGGAAGCCCCGAGAGACACTTACCAGCATCAATGACGCCGCGTGTCCTCCTCTCGCTGTACGTGGTACGAAAAAACAACGCGGGATGAAATATACATGAGAGAGGTCGTAAGGTATAAAGACGCTGTGTACGTATGTGCGCATACGTATGTATGTATATACAGATGTATATATATTTTTGTTATAAATATATATGTATATATACATATAGGTCCGGTCCACCATGTACAGTGACTCACAAGTTTATTCCACAGAAGGCTGTCGCACATTTATTTCACTAGATTACGTACCGAACTACGAATTGTATTTGAAAAAATTACGAAAAAAATTTCTCCACGAAAGCATGATGAACATAACAAATCACGAGAGTATACGTAAATAGAAATTGCATGAAAAATTTGTACACTTAACTGTAACGTGGAAAGTAGATGAAACGAATACGTGTGAATCACTGTATCAGAGTACCATATACTGTACTAACTCTGTATACGGTACTCGGATACAATGACTTACAAGTTTCGTGTTCATGAAAGGCTGTCACTTCCGTGTGACTAGATATTATTTACCAAAATGTCCTAACTGTCGTTTTGGAAGTCTGTGAATGCGTGAGTCATTGTGTATATATATACACACATATATGTTACAAAGGTGTATGATCCATGGATAGTGTGAGACTTGGATACCCTACACACACGCGTGTGTTGTATGTACACAGCATCGCACGCTTGTCCGAGGAAAACGTCTTTCGCGGATTACACCTTAATCGAATACAGTATAATCCTCGTATTATATATATATTTTTTCATTTTCGTTTTTTTTATTTATTTGGAACTATTTTTACTGAGATCATTATTTTGTGTGTGTGTGTATGTGTGTATCGTGTGGCGGTCTGTTGATTCGGGATGAATTGTGGGGTTGAGAGGCGTGGACTCGAAGATACTTTGTGCGCGGTTTCGAGACCTCGAAGACAGCTCTCGAGGAGCAGAGAGACTTCGAAGCGCTCTTGGAGTTTTCTCGAGTAGTTTGAGGAGGGGAAGGGGAGGCTTGAGTATTCCGCGGTATACGAGAGTACATTGAAATAGTACTAAAACACTTCCACACTCTCAGAATATGCGAAGTTCAGGAACCTTGAAAACTTTCGAAATAATTATTTCTTTGCGAATCTGTTAAAAATACTTCGAGATGTCCCTGGATCTCCGACGTTTCTCTTTCAGATAATACACGTTCTCTCTCCGCTTCGAACTCTCAAAGGTATTTTTGAGGTATACAATAATATCTCTTCTCCTCGTGTTGTCGGAGTACTTAGAATAGTTTGGAATTATCTCTTTATCGAATCCTATTCGGGTACTCGATAATCGAGTACTTTCTGAAGGATTAGATAAACAAGAAAGACAATTTCAACTTTTCTCAATATCTACTACTTCCTTCTCTTTCGAAGTATTCAACAATAATAATTTTTGAATACTTACTTAAACAATAATAGCAAAATTGTAAACACAGTCACGACTTTTTTCTCACCTGGTCACATCGTTTCGTCCACGATCGGACACGTCCAGAGATTCTCTCCGTAATCCAGATTCTTTGTTCTTCATACCATTCCGTAAGTATGGTACGTATACATATACAAACCACCAAAAGGAACAAATATTCGTCAAACGTAAACGACTTCATTTGATACTGAGATAATAGATTCTTGAAAAAAAAAAAAAAATCATTCAAATAGTCGGTACAGAATGATTTCTTCGAAAATAAGAAATAGGGACACTAGCTCGAGATCGGTAGAATACAATTCTAAGGGTGCGTTTAGACCAAACGAATGAATGCACGTTTTCCTCCCCCCTCCTATCCGCTGTGCAGTCACTCGTGATTTTTCAGTCTGTTTTAATTTTTCCGAGCATTCGTTAGTTTGGTGTAAACGCACCCTTAACCATCGTATAATGATTTGTTTGATGCATACACCGAAACTTTCTTGTTCTCTATCTTAGGGAGGTGGGAGGGGGAAGACATTCGAGCCAGTATCCTTATTTTCTTTCGGGACACCACTCTACAATCGAGCCAAACCTTTCCTCGGCAACGGCGCTGCGCGTACCAAATATACGTGTGTCGTATGCATGAGAGACTGAACGCATGAAATAGTGTCTACAATATGTGTGTATGTGTATGTATGTATGTCTAAAGTCCATCTCTGTGCGCGAGTGTGATGGAGGCGTGTGTCCCTGGGCGAGACAGGGATCGCATCGCGCGAACTACTACGTGTGTAGTTTCATTTATTTTTTTTTCTTCTTCCTCTGTATATGTAACGTATCACAGACTTCACTTGGAACTGAACACTGACGGAAGAGTTGCGCGCCGCCCGCGGATCAACGTATACGTGTCCGTACTCTCTCGTTAGCGCCTTTCTGTCGGTTTCAAAAATGGGGAGGGTGGGTCGGAGGAGGCGGGGCGCTAACGATGGGACCGTGGTGCAACGAGAAGAAACACCTCGTGGATCCGCGTCGATCACACGCACACAGGCACGAGGGATCCTCGCCGCCTCCAACAATATATATATTCGTCTGGCGACGACAAAAACAAGAGATCTCCGACAGATCGTTCACTGCACAACGGTGTACCCACCTAACGTGAACGCATCTTAAATATCTCGCTTGCTTTCGACTTGTAGACAACTTACTTTAACGAATGCTCAAACTGACGACCATCAAAATCGATACGTTTCTCCATTAGCCCGACTACGTAGTTATGTCGTTACTTGAATCTACTTCCGTACATTCTTACATTTTCGTAGTCAAAGTCACATTCGATCTTGATCGAAACTTAATAGTTTCGCCGCGATGATAAAAAGTATGCAGTTCCGTGTAAAGAAACATCGATGACCTAGAAAATCCGAAAAATATAACCTCGAGAACAATTTTTTCCATGTCACAATATCTACCCCTTCCAACCAGACAATATTGTTCTCTTCTACCTTGGTCTATATCTTCCAGAGTAAGTGAGATATTAAAGGTGCTGACGTTAGGTGGGAACACCTTGTATATGCTACTGTTACCAAGTAGTACCTCCTCTCTCTCTCATTCTCTCTCTCAATCGCTCTCTCATTCTCTCGATATCTCGCCGTCGATTCTACGAAAGATCGTGCTGCAACCGTCGTAGCATAAGATCGACCGCGATCCTAGCATCCTCGACGGAATCGTGCTCGGTCACTTGAATCTCCCTGCGGAGCACCGTCCTCGCGAGTGTCTTTAAGCTACTGCGGAAGGGATAACCGAGAAAGTGCGGGAACGCGACGCACGTGTCGATCACGGTCGTGTGAAGTATCCTCAACGCCCTCAGATCGTTCTCTAAACCGTGACCGATTAATATCGTTTCCGCGTGCATGAAACCGGTCAGATCCTTCTGCACGTCCCTGAGACTCTTGTGCGCGCGCGACAGATCCTTCGCGGTGATCCCGCTGAATCTGGTATTGTGATCGATCACCTCGGTGTCGGGCCTGACCAGAGTATCGTACACGATCTTCCCGTCCATACCGACCACCGTGACCTTCGCCAGTTCGAGACCACGTCGGGTGAAGCACATCTCGCAGTCTAACGCGTACACACCGTAGTTACCGTCTTTCGGCACCTGTCTCGCGGGTCGTGTGCGCACGTAACCGTCGAACGGGCCGTTGTAACCGGGCGCCAATCCGGTCCACACGTGCATCCTCGCGGTAGTGCATCCCCTGGAGGTCTCTTTGGCCCGACAACACTCCCACGTGTCGCCGTGCGAGCCGTCCACCACGCCGCTACGAAACTTGCCCCAATGATAAACGCATCGTTCCTCGTGCAGGTACTCCCCGTCCTCTCGATTAACGTAAAAACTCTTGTGGCACCTGGCGCAACGTCTTTCAGCGACCACTAGCTCGTACGGATCGGGGGTAGAGTCCCTTCGTGATTTCTCTTGGTAACTGGAGGAAGACGAGGAGGAGGAGGACGACGACGATGATGATGATGACGATGAGTCGATGGAGGAAGATGACGACGACTCACCGATGTCTGAGCTCTTGTCGCTATCCGACGCACTCTCCTGCTCCAGATCGGAGCTCTCCAACGAACTACCGCTGCAGTTACCGCTGTCCGCCTCGCTCTCGATCATCGTCCACGCGGAACCACTATTACTGGGCGCCGTACCGCTGCTACCGGGCACGAACTCGCGCGCGTTCGCGTCAAGATGATGATAGCCACGCGGTGCACGATGGCCAACGGGGTGCTGATGATGATTGATAATCACCGCGTAACCAGGAAAGTAACTGCACTCGACCGGATAACCGAGATGCGCCAGTTGCTCACCGGTTAACGTGTATCGACGCAGCAACGAGGCTAACGCCGCGTCGCTCAAGTGATGCAGCTCCTTTCGTTGGTTGCTGAGGAACATACGTGACTTCCTGGCGCCTCCACCGTTATTCATCCCACCACCGCCTGTGACATTATCGGCGGTGTTTTTGCCATCGTCGCGGGACGAATCGATGATTTGAGATTGATTTCTTCGTGAACCGGTCCGGTTGGTTGGGGAGGACGAGGAGGTCCCGTTAGACTCGGGGCTTCTCGTCGGGCTGCCGTTCTGGTAGTGTTGCTGGCGACAATGATGGTGGTGTCTACGATGATGGTGACGTTGCTGTTGTTGCTGCTGCTGGCCGGCAGGCTGCTCATCCTCGTCGTCTCGTTCGCGACGCTGCTGATCCCGCGGCACCCTGGTCCGGTTCTTTCTCTGTCTTCGACTCAGGATGGTTCGATCCTCTTTCGTTGATGATCCAGAGCTCAACGATGTTGAACTACTACCGGTCACGGACGACGACGACGACGATTGCGTTGGCACAGGGGACACGCTGGTTGACGAAGATGATGAGGACGCAGCGGATTTGCTCTTGGCCGTCGTCCCCGATGGCTTGGTCGATGACGCCGGTGTCTCGCGGCTTGCCTTACAGCCAACGTACCGATCGGTCTCCCCAGGATCCAGGACCTCCTCTTCCGGCCGCAGGCCGCAATCTTTATGTCACATACAAAAATATACATATGCGTCAGTTCATATCGTCCGGCAGTGAATAGACTTACTATGACGACCTACGTTTATTATACTTGTTAGGGAGGTTTTTCTGACACCACACACACACACACACACACACACCACGCGCATGCATCTCTGTCCTTTTCTAGCTTATTCTCTTTCTCTAAGTGTTCTCTGAGATATATGTTTGTGTTGGGGATATCAAACTAGGCTCGCGGGGGGAGGGAGGGTTCGGTGATGGACGGCAAGGACCTATTGGGACTTCCCACACGTTTGCGAGAATTCGCAACATTCTATGGGACTATACAGGGTGTCCCAAAATAACGAGACAAGGCGCAACATGCATATTCCTTGTGTAATGAAAAATCGAAAAGTTCTTTACCGTTTTGCAATCTGAAGCTCCGCTTCCGAGATGTTAGCGATTGAACTAACTCCAATCAGCTGAGCAGTCGGCCACGTGTACGCGCAGAGCAGTCAAGGAGCGTGCAACCCAGTTGACTGCGTCTGCACGTACGTGTGGCCGACCGCTCAGCTGACCGGAGTTCGTTCAACCGCTAATATCTTGGAAATGGAGCTTGGAATTACAAAACGGTAAAGGACTTTCCGATTTGTATTCGCACAAGGAATATGCATGCTGCGGCTTGTTTTATCATTTTGGGACATCCTGTATAAGAAAGAAGTTCACACGGCAACACGTTAAGTCTATCCTCGAAAATTTAAGGCCTCACCCCCCTTCCCCTCCCCACTTTGTTGCCAAGCGAAAGGGGTAAACTCTACGCGCACGGTTTACTTATCGTCTCAGCGAAAGAATTTTGGTTCTCTCTATCGTTAAAAATCTACTTCGAATTTCTCTCTAGACCGGTTGCTTCGCAGCACACGTTCGATGATCTTTGGGGTCATTTTCAATGCATGAGGACACGCGTCGTCGTCGTCGTTGGAACAATTATAAACTAGTTCACTCGTCGTAGCTCTAAGGAGAAGTGTTCCTCAAAGGTCTCGCGACTGCAGTCGTTGCTTAAGGGGGTGGGTCATCGATGCACCAAAAACCTCTCTCGGCGGTCGCCACACATCGATCCGAGGCCGCTCTTGACCCAGAGACCGACGTATATCTTACCTTACCTTGAACCGATGCCCTACCCACACCACGCGGCGCGCGCGCGACTATAAAACTTGGTACGATTCCTGGAAAACGCGTTATCTCGAAATCGGTGCAAGTGAATTCCGAAAGTACACGCACAATATGTATATATGCACATATGCAGGGTGAAGCAAGAAAAAAGGGTTCATAACTTCTAAGGTAGATAGTAGGTACTCGCCAAATGAAAAAAAAGTCTTGATAAACATGGTTTGGAAGACTAACATTTTCAAAGTTATAAGCAATATATACAAATCGCGACCGGATCGTCGGAATGGAAATCGGTGCGCGGGCGCGCGAGTACTGGGGCGCGGTTAATTAGATGTCGGAAAACCATGAAAGTGAAAGCCTGCCACATACGGACGTATAAAATAACGTATATGAAAAGTTTTGTCTGTGTACAACATTCATAATCCCCACGCCATAGCAGCTCTTCGTGCGTCCTCGCGCGAGTAAACCCCGTTTTGCTTTCTTCGCATCGGAAGGAGAACAAGGGGAGGCGGAGGAAGCTTGTTTTCTCGTTTACCCTCGCGACATCGCGAGAGAACACGTACACTTGGCCCTTGTGTCTAATACCCAACAATCCGGCCTTTGCGCTTCGAGTATCGATAGTTCGAGCAACTCTCGATAATCAAATTAAAAAAAACACGTGAAAGCTGCTTCACAACTCGCTATTCTATTATTTCGTTTATATGCTACAGGTTGTCGATAAAAAAATATGGGGGATTATTTCACGCAGGATGTGTTCTATATGCCGAATTAAGCACAAAAGTCATGAATGACGAAAAAAAGTATTCGATTTAATGAATGAAACGAATAAAATCATCTCGCGAAACACAGTCGAAGAACTGGCGCCTTTCAAGTAGAATAACCCGTCGCGGTCAGACGTAACTATCGGCCAAAAGTGTGGGACCAATGTTCATGATTGATAGGAGGGTAACTGATTGTTCTATTACGATATAATAAAAGATTTTACGATATTATAAAGACAATGAGAAATAATTATTTCAACTAATTTATTTCGGGACTTTATTTTAAATACTGTTCTTTGAAAATAAAAATATTATATTATTTATAGAAATAATTATGAAATAAAATAACATGTTATTTAAAATAATATTTCGAATAATATCATTTGGAAAGTGCCCAGGTCTCGGTGAAAGAAACGGCGATGAATAAATAAAAAGTCTCGTAAAAGTGGTTCACGATGCACGAGATGTTTAAAGGCGCAAAAGTTGGAATGTTTAGTGTTGTTTTTTCTCTTTGGTCTCGTTAAGCGTGACATAAAAAAGGCGGATTAACCAACGGTCGAGGCCGATCTCGTTCGAGCCCAAGAGGAACCGAGACTAAAAGCGAGTTGTTGGCGCGCTTCTTTACTGTCCACAGCGTGCGCGCATGCAGCAGCAACTTTCGCCGAATGGCGTCACGGAAAGCAGTCGCTTTCTTTTCTTCGCGTCGACGTTCGCGACGATACACACACGTACGCCGCGTATGCGCATACAATTCTGTTTTTCCCGTGAGTTTCCTTATGCATCGACAGAAAGGATAAAAGGTTTCGAGAGGATCGAAAGAACTTTTAAACGAAAGTCGTCGTTACCCCTCCCCTCTTCGAGGAAGATGATATCGACCGAGGGGTCATCTTGCGATTCTTTCGTTTCTTTCTGTTCGAGGACAGAATGATATTCTTCGTTCCTGTGTCAGGAACGAGAGACTTTCACAAGGAAAGTTCGAACCCCGCTTCGCGAACGATGAAACACGATCGACTTAATGGATATGTCTACGTCCTAAGAGGAAGCTATCCTCCAAATTTAATCAGACTTCTTTTAAGATTCCTAATCACTCATTCAGACTTACTCTTTCTAGATCTGAAAGATATCGCAACGTCGTTGTTGATGGACTTGTTGATTCGTGTAATCGTGAATATCGTTCTAAGATATCGGCAGCCAGGTGAAAAAGCTTACGGTTTCAGCTACATTTCGAATCAGACACCCGAATACATGCGACAGGAAGCTGCAACTCCAACCGAGGGAACTCGAGATCCCCAGTGCGCATGCGTAAGCAGAAAGAAGATAAAATGGAGCAACGTCATCTGTCGTTGCAAAGAACGGGGGGGGGAGGCAAAAGAAAATAATTCACCGGTTAACACGTTAAACGCTATGTTGATCCCTGAAGACCGATGCTAAACTTCCAATTTAGGCGACGTCGCTTCTTGAGGATCAACAATGGTAAATTAAAAAAATAATACTTTATAATTGATATAATACTAAAAAAGTATGTTCAAACATTTTTAGTGCATCTTATTGAAACATTTTAAACAAGAATGAAGGTTTGCCTCTATGAAGTATTACAAAAAGTTATAAGTTCCTTGGTACAATTTCTTTTCTGTAAAACAATACGAGCTCCGGCGTGTAACGTCTGTTAAATAAAAATGAACTCAGGGTACATCAGACGGCCACCGACAAATTAATGCTCGGTGGAATTTCGTTCGAAAGAGGAAAAGAAAAGCCAATTTCCGCACGGAAGTTTTGTTCCCAGAACCGCGTAACGAACGAAAGTCTACCTTGTCGGTTGAAATTAACCCCGAACATTGTTTCTCGCAGGTGAACAGATCCGTAGAACATATCCAAGCGGAATTAAACGTTCAGAGTCGCTTGTATATAATCACACACACGCACACACACACGCGCGCGCACAGAGAGAGAGAGAGAGAGAGAGAGAGAGAGAGAGAGAGAGAGAGAGAGAGAAGAGAGAGATCGGTACACCCGGTGCGTAAAGATGAAGACGAAGACGAAAAATGGAAAAATAGCAGAATTACGTCAGATGCTCGCGTAAGTGTTTACGGACCAGAATTATATCAGAGAGTCTCTATCTCGCAAGCCAATATGTGTGTGTTTGTTGTGTTCCGTCAGGGAAAATCTCGAAAAAGAGAGTTTCACCCTCGCCCTTGCCTTGATTCCGCCCCATCGAGGACAACGATCTATCCGTGGTGGTCCCGTCATCGACGTGTGCACAATCGACACTGTTTAATCGTGTCGCCAATCGGCCCCGAACGATATATATCCCGGCCCGGTTTCGCGATCACGGGCGACTCGCGAGGAGGGAGAACGGGAGAGGCAGATAGTGGTGGGTTCGTGAATAGACCGATTCGAAACATGTTTGTTCGAAACCAGAAGTGGACATATTCATTACTGTGAGAAAGAAAAAAATTTGTTTCTTGTTATCAAAGATTTAAGATCGAGGATCTCGATTTCGCAATACATTTTCGTTTTAGCTAAATTAGCTGCAATTTAAAAAAAGAAAAATCGAAAATGTTGAAATTAAACGTTTGTATCGATTTGAAATACCTACTACATATGCTTTTTTGTTACGTATCCTCTTCTCAAAACTCTCTTGTGAAATTTCTTTGCTTTCGGGTTAGTGATGTCCAAAGTAAAGAATCATAGAAATTGCTATTTCATTTTTTTTCTTTACTTTACATAAATATGCTAATTGGTCAACGTTCGTGGCTCGAACGGCTTGAAGTTTGGAACACCGTTTGGCAACTCTACAGCACCAGCAACCGACCGAGTGACAGTTTCGAGTTCGATACACACGTCATCGGACTGTTTAGAAATGACCTTCAGTTCGAATCCCACCCGCCGTGATTGGACTCGGACCTGAACGGTTCAAGACTGGCTACTCTTGCATCCGTTGTTTAAACACATCGCCGAGAATGGTTTGCTTACCCATCGCTACAGACAGAGGTCGGCCAATCAAGGTGCGTATTCACCCCGGCAAGCAGTTCATGGAACCAGGCGATACATGGCTCCTATCTTGACAAGGATTAGCCATTACTGATATACAGAG